AGAAGCCACAGAACCAGGGAAACTAAACACGTCGTCATCGGTCAAGGCGATTCATGACGACGAGAGCAGGAAACACCGACTCATAATCACAGACAGAGAATCTGGAGTGAGGTTTCTTGTCGATTCAGGAGCCGACGTATCGTTGTCCTTGTCGATGGAGAAACCGAGGTATTTCACAGATTGCGCGCCGAAAACGCATTTTGCGGTGTTGATCGAGAGTCCGTACTGCTGAAGTCGTTCGAAAACTTGTCGCAGGTGTCTCTCGTGTTCTGCCTCATCCTTGGATGCGATTAAGATGTCATCTACGTAACAGAAGCAGAAGTCCAATCCACGGAGAGCTGTATCCATGAATCTCTGGAAACTTTGTGCAGCATTACACAGTCCAAATGTCATCACGTTATATTCGAAAAGTCCAAATGGAGTGATTACTGCTGTTTTTGGTCGATCCTCTTCTGCCACCGGGATTTGGTAGTATGCTTGAGTGAGATCCAATGTAGTGAATATGGAACAGTCACGTAATTTTTGGGTGAAATCATGTAAATGCGGAGTGGAATACTTGTCCGGTATGGTACGTGCGTTGAGACGACGGTAATCGTCACAGGCCCTCCAATCGCCGGATTTCTTAGGCGCGAGGTGAAGAGGGCTGGCTCATTGACTGCTGGATGGCCGACAAATGCCCTGAGTTAACATATACTCAAAATCTGCTTTTGCGGCTTTCAGCTTTTCTCCTGAGAGACGTCGTGCACGTTCTGCTACTGGTGGTCCCTTCGTGTTCATGAAGTGTTGGACGTCACGTTTCGGTAGTCCCGTGTACTTGACAGGTCGTGTGATGTCGACAAATACTTTAAGTGGTTTGCTGTACGGTGTATCATCCGTGATGGTCCGTATTGTGGGAGCGTTGGACTTGGTCACTGCGCCGCCAGAAAATAGGTTGGTACTTACATCTCTAAGACATTTACCTTGCAGGTGGATTAGCAGTTCATAGTGATGTATAAAATCAGCGCCTAGTATGGGCCTGGTCACATTCGCGATGATGAAGACCCAAGGCAGTTTCCTTCGTAATCTCAGGTTGGGAGTGAGAAGCATGGTCCTATAATAGATTTATTTAATGTTATTGCTTTTCAATTTATTACATGTTGAAAATTGCGCAAGAGAAAATTATCACTGTTCTAATTTCAACAAAGACCATCATGGCTATCGCTAATCACAATAAAAGTATATCAAAATATGACTAAATATATATAAGCTTACAATCTAATAACTTATCGCTTCACAGCATTATAATCATTATAAGGACCGTACTCACGCAATTCATTAAGATTCTTCAAAGTTTTCTTATTGATTGGTAATACTTCTCGAGTACGTCTCGTTTAGTCCTTTGGAGCTCGCCCAGGATTCAGTCTTTTATTGGTAGTATTCCGTATGATATTGACCCATGTATGTCGTGTAGTTTATCCAGGATTAGCCGTTAATAATGTTTCTAATATCAATTATTATTGATAGAGTGCAGGACTGACTATAAAACCGCAACCCTATTGCCTCTGCAAATGGACTGTCTACATGGACGAAATAAAAAAAAAAAAACAATAAGCTATCTATTTGAATAAAAATTATTATTTAAGGAAATGTGTTAGATTACCTGTCGTGCTCCAAACGTGACACGTGCTTCTTCCTCAGTGTCTCAAGGCAAAAGGGAAGAGTTACACACGGTTGGAGACTTAATTTTCACAAGTAAATAGGAGGGGATCAAGAAATCGATTATTTTGACATACGACGGCCATTTCACAAACTATTATGGATCCCAGTCGGTAATCCGTTACAGTCCCGTATGTTTCTATAGGAGACCCATTTGCGGCGAAGAGCTGCGACGTGGATGCATCTGCCTGTAGCTTACCCGCAAAGTTGCGAGGGATAACGGATACGTCGGCTCCTGAGTCAACAAGAAACCTCATTCCAGATTCTCCGTCTGTGATTATGAGGCGGTGTTTCCTGCTCTCGTCGTCATGAACCGCCTTGACCGATGACGACGTGTTTAGTTTCCCTGGTTCTGTGGCTTCTTCCAGGAACACGGGCTAACACAGTTTCTTGCTTCCTTACCAAAGCGTCGGTGATAGTAGCACAATCCGTTTTGTCGTTCACTAGAACGAGATCTTTCACCTGAGCGATTTTGCTGATTCTTGTTATAGTAGTTTCTTTGCTGCTCGGCTATTTCTTCAATCATGTTTTTTAACTCTAACCACTTGTCATCTTGTTTTGTTGATGTGGTCGAGTCCGTCTGAGTGGTTGTACCTTTGTTAGGTTTGTCTGAAAACTCTAGACGTGTTGATAGTTCACTTATGCGTTTGGCCAGTGCCGCTAGATCACTTGAAATGTGGTTGTCAGAATTGGAGATGGTGGCTACATGTGGTACTCTTCTTCGGTCCATAGCCTTGTCCGCAACCTCTGCCAGTTTGATGAGTCCTACTCCTTCCACAACCAACAAGAGTTCTTGGACATGTTCAGGGAGTCGTTGAAGAAACATAGTTTGTAAAGCTTTGTCAGAGACTTCCTTGTCCGCAAGAGACCTCATTTCTCTGAGCAAGTCTGGGTCGCTTGTTACCCAGTTCGATGCCTGTGAGGAGTTTTCTCATTTGAAGCTCTTCTGAATCTGTCCATCTTGCGATGAGTGCTTCCTTGACATGCTGATATTTGTTCTGCGTAGGAGGTGCATCTAGTATATCCTCAATTTTTGTCATTGTCTGTGCATCGAGGTGGCTAATAACTGTGCTAAACTTTACTTCGTCTGAGCGAATTCTATGTAAGACAAAATGGCTTTCCAGATGTATGAACCAGAGTTTAGGATTGTTGCGCCAGAATGAAGGTACCTTAATATCTCTGTAATCGCTGGCTTGCACTTCATCTGGGGATTCGCGTACCTCTTGTTGAGTCTCGTTATTGCTCGCCATGCCTCGTGGTGTTGCCTCTTCCTCTTCGGATTTTTGTACGTCACTGTCGTAAGAACCTGAAAGCTGTGTTGGACTACCGGGAAGTTGGCCGCTGAGTTTACCCCACATTCTTCATTATGAATATAGGTGGACCTTTCCTTTCTGCGGCGGATCCTTTGTTCGCCCACGTGGTGGCATCTTTGAATTTCCTCGATGATCACGTCGGGGTCACCAAATTAACTTGTGTAGTGGACGCGTACACAAGTCGTTTATATTTTATCTAATCACGAGAAATATATTGCACTCAGGTAAGTTTCACGCACGTACGCTTTATTTCTTTTGTTTCAGGTACAGAGATATACTATTTACAACGGACGCCATGGAACTGCATGGAACGCTCTGGACCACTACTACTAACTACCCTGCGGTTGCCGTAGCGCTGCGGACTTCCGACTTTCGGCCTCCTGCCAGCGACGACCGGTAAGTATGGCAGTGCTTGCCCTAGTTCGGTTGGTAAGTACCGTCTGGTGCTCGGTCTCTACACCCAGGAGGTGCTGCCCCCTTATCGGCAAAAATTGGAACTAATGCAAATTCTTCAAAAAAATTGGCCTCTAAAGTTTCGACAACGCGATTTTCAAATTGCATCCGGAATCATTTTATTTTAGAAGGTAGTATGGATAAAAGAAAGCGAAATCAGGATATGTATAATATTGGAGAGATGGAATGGAAATAATGGCAGAGAAAATGGAGCATAGCTAAAAAGGGGTATCAGAGCATAAGGCAGAAGGAGGAAGAGAAGGAGAAGGATGCTGTTAGGACGGATCTGAGTAAGAGAGAGACAGAACTCATTCGTACTCTGGGATATTCGCAGATGGCAAATGAATATCAATGTGTATAAGTGTTTAAAGATAATTTATTGGACAAATGCAATAATGATACAATATACAAAGTACAGATGTACATATATGGTTTGCGAAAGATTAGTAATAACAATGCCATTAGAGATATATTTTAAACATATCACTGCAATATAATATACATTTGGTATGTTATATGTGCTACCACTTTGGACTTTCCTTTTTCCAAAGGACTTTTTAACAACTTAGTTTTTAAGGATATTCCAGGAGGAGAGTGGTGGAGACATAGGAAAGAATAGGAGATTCGGAAATTGAGTAGAAACGTTTGGTGACAGCAGCCAGGGAAGATGTTATTGAAGGGAAAAAGATGAAGATTGTTAAAAAGAAAGAGTGAAAAACAGAGATAGTAAGGATTGAGGGAACAAGGAGAGAAGAAAATGCATAAAACGTGTGCACGAGAACCAAATTATTCGGGACGAGCGACAAAAGAGAACACTCGAAAAAGTAGGAACAGTAAGAAGTTTAAGGGAGCGAAATGGGCCCCTCCGCGCCCATTTCCGTGAGGTCCTGCCTCTCCACAAGGGAGCTACGACCCCTCCGAGGCCCCATAGGGGACCGTGTTTTGTTTTTCATTGAGGAAAACCCCCGAGTCCTGCGGCTTTCGCACACAGGACTAGGGGGGGAAAACCTCAGGAAGGAAAGGAAGTCGAGCCGTGGGACAAGAAAAACGCACAAGGGGGTAAGGTGAAGTTAAATGCGAAAAGCTAAGATAAGTTAAACGCAAAAGGGACAAGTAAAACGCGAAACATTGAGGAAAACCCCCGAGTCCTGCGGCTTTCGCACACAGGACTAGGGGGGGAAAACCTCAGGAAGGAAAGGAAGTCGAGCCGTGGGACAAGAAAAACGCACAAGGGGGTAAGGTGAAGTTAAATGCGAAAAGCTAAGATAAGTTAAACGCAAAAGGGACAAGTAAAACGCGAAAGGTCTACCCGTAGTCAAGATTCACCGCAACGAAAGACCGCAGGCGTAGCACCCGGCGGCGCCCTTGCGGGCACGCCAGGACATCCCGAAGGACGATATTTAACGCTACAACCTCCGTCCCTTCCCACGGGCGAGCCCAGTGGGTTAGACGTAAGGAACCACGCCCGCCGCGTGAAAACAATGAAATATAAAGAAGTAAGGAAATAAAGAAGAAATAAGGAAGAAAATGAAGAAGCTTGGAAATGGATAAGAGAGATGATTCCAAGAGACCAGTATAGGAGACCGACTCGAGGAAGAATGAGCGCTCCGAGTTCGGGCGTTGCATCGAGCGCTCCCCCCACTCCCCGGCTACTCCCACTCGCCGCACACAATTTTGGGCAATTTTCAGTACTTTTAAATATTCTTGGCCGGGATTTCAGAAGTTTAAGTCTTAATATCTAACTTTATGGATTTAATCAATTATTTTAATATTCCAAACACTTAATTTAGTAATAATTCAGTTTCAACGAAATTTATTTTCGACATTTTACAATTTCAATTGAATTTTTATCTACTCTGTATATTTTGTGAGATTATGTTTTAGCCTCAATTTTATATTTTAAATAATTTTCAAAAGTAAGTCAGCATCAAAAAATATTTAATAACATTTGGAGAGCTTTATTTAATGTTTCGAATTTTTAGTATTTATGTGCAACTAATTTTTTCCTTCTTCTTCTCGCGGGTTATCCGCTAATTTTTTTTTTTCTATATGTGCATGATAGCGCGTAACCTGATTAAAGAAAAAATATTTATATAATATCCATTGCCATGTAAATACTCGTTCCTACTTGCGCTTATATTTAACTGCCCGGTTTGTCCTTCACGAGTTCTGGGGAAGAAGAAATGCTCGCTGATTTATATATTTATTGTATGTATATAATGTAATGAAATATACATAGCAAATTATAATCATGTATTTATTAAATCCTAAGATAATTAATAAGATCAATATGCGTAATGAGAGAACAGTATAAAAAAAAATTATAACGAGTCTCGAACCTAAGACTCCTGTGCATAAACCGAAGCTCCATGCACACGTGCTGCTCAATCACCACGACACAAAAATAAAAAAACATATTTTACTAGGTGGCAGGTAGTAGAACCTGTGGCAAAGCTTTCAACTTTTTGTAAGTGTTCCTTGCCGTACCTCTCAGTGGGTATCGTTTTCCTGACCTTAACGAGGAATGCGTCATCTATGATTTGCGGATTCTACGATTCATGGAGACATGGATAATTCACGATGGCTCTTTTTAATAAAGAGAAGATAGAACAAAATTGTTGGAACATGTTTTTTTTTTTTATTAGGAATTAGCATATAATAAAGTTTATAATAAATCATAAAAGTAATTCAAACCCTGACCAAGTTCCCAGATTGAAATACCTGTGCCCAATTCGCTAGCTAGCTCGATTCGTTTATTAAGGGAATACAGAGTCGGGTAAAAGACAAAAGAACTTCCGGCAGCGGTTCTAAAAATTGAAGATATACATATATATACACACACACATATAACAATAAATAAGAAAATTTATGTGATCTCTCAATTCTTACTTGGTCTCAAAAAAGTGTTCCTTGCTACGATCGTCCCACTGAATTTTTCCTTTGAACGAATCCAGCATCTCGAGGTATTGAGATCCAAGAATTGGACCACCACCCTCGGGTGTGTAACTATTCCCATAGAAATTAATTCCCAGGAGTATCTGAGAACGTCTAGGATCGTCATCGTTTGGGACTAATTCCTTTATACAGTGTCGGGCCCATTCGAGGGGACTGTTTGGCCCTGGTCTTTGAACACTGGAGTAGTCGTAAGTCATTAGTGAAAATGATTCCACATCCTGAGCTAATTCATCAAAATGAGCTCGATGGAATAATTCTACTTTCATTCTGCAACGATAAAAACAATTTTTAATAATTCTAAAAAGACACAAGTTTTAGACGTTTTTTTAATAATTTAATAAATTTACCCTCTGATCGGTGGTACGGCGAGTATAACAGACAAGTTATGATTATTCAATTTTTTCGCGATACTCTTAATTATGAAAATCACGACACGTGCGTCGACACCTGTAAATATAAATTGATTCCAGATTTCTAAGACATATCCGTCAAATCGGAAGTTCTGAAAAATACCAATGAACACTATACAAATGTGTACAGTGAATTTTAATTTGGAACACTTTTATGACAAAATACCTTGGCAGTATCGATCAAGGCAGATATCAACCGTATTCTCTTATCAGAATTGGTTTGAAGGGCGATTATATCTTCCGCAATCCAATTTTCAAAAAATACACGAGGGATTACTGAAATTTAAGGAATTCATTAAACCTGTACGATTATTTTCAGTAATATATATTACTTTTGGTCGTGTGATTAGCACTATTCTGTTTTCGTATTTCTTTAATCCAGTCCTTGCGCACATCGTGTGTTCCCGGTGAAAACTCGCTCGTGTTACCATATGGAATTGTCAGCCAGACAGGCGAAAATGCCGTGAATTTACCATGAAACGTTTTGGAAATTTCCAATCCTTTTTCATTCCACTAAAATAAGTATACAATTTTATGAAGCCAGAAATCCAATTACTTTTATGTAAACTGATCGAATGTCATTTAACGATTGTCTACCTACTGGAGTAATATATCCCAATACATTTCCATGGAATCGTCGACGTTTTGTGTCTTTATAATAAGTATTCGATGAACGTAGTATATCAATACTTTTAGGATCCTTCACAACCAGTCCTCTTTCGAAAACATCTTGATTCACCGATCCTTTCTGATAATAAAGGTTAGGATTAGCTACTGAACAATATTTATACCAGAGCACGTACCTACCTTGACATCAACTTTACTCTTTCCCTTTTTATTGGTCTGTTCTTTCGGTGGTGATAATGTACCGAAGGTAGCGTCACTAATAATTAATAAAGTAATCGTTACAGTCAACAATGCTTTCATGATCATAAGCTAACCGGTGAAACGTGTATGACAGTCACCCCACCCCGTGACACAACCAACAACTTAGTCGGCAAAACAGAAACTGACAACAATCAATTTTCTGCGTTATCAACGGTCAGCACAGTAACGTTCTTAAGATTAGTTACCATATTGTAATTAATTTCATTAAACCATTTTTCTGGCGTTCATTCAAATGCACAATAGAACTAAAAAAAAAGTTTCTCACCTAACAGTCTTCTTGGATGCGGAATAAATCGTCTACTCTCACGACCCTAATTTTTATTGTGGCGCGATCCATTTATTCTTTTCTTATTATTTCTCTTTCATTTCTTGTGGTTAAATTGCGTCCGGTGGTCGATAGGCATCGTTGCATGACGTCTCAAATCGGGAATGATCACCGATCATTGCCGTCTCTCCGATGGGACGCAAGTGAAAACTCTCAGCTATCTCGTATAAGGTACAACACACTCGACAGTGAGAAACCAGTTGGTCGGTGCTAGTTGTTCGTGAAAGAAGCCAAACGATGTACGCGGCTGTAATAGAACGACTGATACCGTGTCTTCTTGTCTGGTCTGGTGAGTATAACACATGTAAAAAACTAATCTTGGGACGATGACAGTAGCGACTTATTTAAATTGCAGTAATTTTCTGAAAAAAAAATTGCACACTTCCAATGTCAACTATAGTTAATCGTCAATGGAGCATACTGATTTTTACAACATATTCAAGTATAATTTATAAGTGAATATAATGATCCCTCTTATAAAATATCAAATTCCAAACGTCACTTTTAATATAACGATGAAAGTTTCACTTTGCTATGCGGCGAGAGTAATATCGTTCCGCCGATCCAAGAGAGAGTTAAACAGCACTACTATTTTCTACGTGTCCATAATGCACAATATGCAATTTTATGTGATATTTATATCTTACCATTATCACCCGTCAATTTTATCCTCGTTACTTTTCGCGCGTTCATCCTTGTCCCAGCAGACGAAATTTTAAAATTATCTATAAGAACAAGATGAAGTAGTAGCTAGATGATATTTCTAATGACTATCTATTTTATTAAGCCCACTCAGGATACTGGTTTTGTTTTGACAATCAACTATACGGACTGTCATGAATGATGATTGTCAGATTGACCTACTTCTCTACTTTTTAATATGAAAATTGTTTTTTGTTGTGAGAACCAACAGTATTATTAATTAAGGTCAGGTCGAGACCGATGAAATACATAGAGGAAAGGGGTTAATCGAACCAAGTGAAAGGTGTCTCTCTTTCGACTCAAAGCGTCATCCTCTTTCCCTTTCAGCTTTTGGACAGTCAGAAGTCGAGAGCACTGCGCCCTGCATTGATCACAACAAATTTTACAGGAATCCAAAAACTCCGTCTCACAGAGTATGGGCAACTACCGAGTGCGCCAAGTATTACTTGTGCCTAGGTAAATACATTTTGATTATTGAATTATAAAGTTCTATCCAGAAACACACTCTTCATGGATACCTTTTTATTCTAGTCGTCGAGATTTTTATTTGCTTATTCAGGAAAACCGCATTCCCATGCGTGCTCTAACGAGTATACTCGATTTGGTGCAGTTACGAGAGCAGTCGGTATTGCCAATTAGAGATTTTTCGCTTGGTAGTTTCCTTCAATTGTATTTCATAACTTCTACTGCATCCCAGGGGAATTTCAAATAGAATTAAATATAGTATTAGGTATAGTTCGATAATAATGAATTATAATTGCAACCTTATCTTGCAGACGATGAAGTTTTTGAATTTAAATGCTCGCAAGGACTACTCTTTGATGTCTCACGACAGATTTGCGATTTCAAAGGAAACGTCGATAATTGTGATATAGCTTTAGGTGAGAAAACTACTGTTTCTTTCAACGTCCATAATTTTGGCTTTGCTATACCATTTGTGATGTGATGAATTTACATATTTATCAGAGGAACAGCCTCCGAAACCGTTACTGGACAAAGGTCATTGTGACAAGGGTAACTTAGCCTGTGGCGATGAAACGTGTTTGCCAGCCACTTATTTCTGCGACGGAAGTGTAGATTGTCCAGATGGTTCTGATGAGGGATGGTGCGGTAAGATAAACTGAAAATAAAAAATGAATTAATAAAAAATATTTAAACTTAATTAAACGTGCCATTTCAATCCAGATGTAACTAATGATCCAAACGCAGCTGGTATCTGTGTACCAGAAAAATGTAAGGTACCAGACTGTTGGTGTTCGAAAGATGGTACCAAAATACCAGGAAATCTATCAGTCAATTTGATACCTCAAATGGTATTAATTACCTTTGAAGACGCAGTCAACGCAGAGAATTTTAATCTCTATACCGGTACATATATAAGTGATTTTAATAATGAATATAACAGTGGTCGATCCTCTTAATGTTGAAAAATTCTGCATCTCCTAGAACTGTTTACGGATGACAAAAAGAATCCTAATGGGTGTCCGATTCGTGCTACTTTCTTCGTAAGTCATCAATATACAAATTACCGCGACGTCCAATTTCTCTGGAACGCTGGTCACGAAATCGCTGCGCATTCTGTAACGCAAGTATTCACATTTGACATCTCAACTTTTTTAACTAATATTTTTCATATTCATAAATTCAATATCGAATTTACAGCCATCGTGGACCGGAAGAATGGTGGTCGCAAAATGCCACCATAGAAGATTGGTTCGATGAGATGGTTGGCGTTGCGAATATTATAAATAAATATTCTGGAGTCCGCATGGAGGATATTAAAGGTGAAATTATCATATTATTAAAAAAAATAGGATCCAGCTAGATATTTAAAAAAGTCACTTTCAGGACTACGAGTTCCATTCCTACGTCTTGGCTGGAACAGGCAATTCTTAATGATGACAGAATTCGGATTTGAATATGATACCTCAATGGTGGCACCGTTCTCCGATCCGCCAATATGGCCATATACTATGGACTATAGACCACCCCATAAGTGTGTGGGACTTGGACAAATTTGCCCCAGCAGATCATATCCAGGAATTTGGGAAATACCCTTAAATCCACTTCTTGTACATGTACGACAATTGATAATGCCAGTAAAAATTCTATGGATTTTTGTTAATTATACTGCTTCACTTTTCTTTAATAACAGCAGGAATTCACTTGTCCCACGGTGGACTCGTGCCCAGCCAATCTCTCTGGTGAAGATGTGTATAAAATGTTTATGCACAATTTTGAAAGGCATTATCGCACCAATCGCGCACCTTTTGGATTGCATTTTCATGCAGCCTGGTTTCAAAATCCCGCATACCGTTATGCCTTCGGGGTGAGTTTATTACTTGAATTTATTTACTGTCTTTTTGTTAAAATTGTTGTTTCTTTGTTTTAATAGAAATTCATCGAGGATATTTTACGATTACCGGAAGTTTATTTTGTGACCAATCATCAAGCCATTGAGTGGATACGGAATCCTACTACAATTGAGAATTTGCATAAATTCGAAGCATGGTCTTGTGCTGATCGGCGATTTGAGCCACGTGAGTTGGCTTGCGATCTACCCAGTGCTTGTAAACTACCTAGTAGAGTTTTAAAGACAGATCGATATTTGCATACTTGTTTCGAGTGTCCGAAACAATACCCCTGGTTAAGAAACGAATTTGGTTTGGATTGATAGAATTTCACTTTATATAGAAAACAAGTATATAGTCTCACTAAAAGACATATATCTTATATAGATATCACAATTCATATCATGATTCACAGATTTAAATGAGGTGATTGAAAAAATGACATGCGTAATTCTCATAACATAAATCAAAATTATACCATATATAAAATCTTTTAGCTATAAGACCATGTACCTTTTTAGTATAGCCATATTTATTATTGTACAAAGCTGGAGTTCATAAAAAAAATCCGGAGGAATGCATTGTAAATGAACGCGAAATAAATAAAGATTTGTTGGAAACAAAAACCTTACTTTAAACAGAAATTGCTGTCATCGATCACTAGCCTTCTTGTTGAACGAATGGATTTTGAATGGACTCCATTCCATCCACAGGGCAGATAAGTACAACAGATGTACCACGGCATACAACCAGACCCAACATTCTTGTGTCTTGGTTAAGTTTATAAGGATCGTCAGGATCTGTAAACAAAGAGAGCATCATTATGCTTCATAGAAGAAGTTAACAATGTATGTTATAATACAATTATACAATATCGGTGAAAATTGACTCAATACAATATTTAAATTACCACGTAAGTACTCAATAGTATTATCCAGTACAAGATTCAGTAAAGGATCATAGCCTTTGAGGATGCCAACAGCTTCTCGTCCACCAGCAAACTTCACCCGTATATTTTTCTCCAAATATTTTGAAAGATCGAGAATACTTTCTTTTCGTTTTTTCTCTTTGTGATCGCTGTGAGCATTTTGTGGCTACAAAATATAAGTACAAACTGTAATGACGCTGCTGTAACTTTAAAGGTTATATACGCTAATTTGAAGGTTAAGATCTCTTTCTCCGTATGATTTACCTGCTTCGTCGTCTGAAAAAAAGTTCAATAATTAAACATACATCAAAGTTAAGTTATTCATTTTCGTGGAAGTAATTATATTTATATACAACTTACAGACATATTCGTGAACTTAACAAATTCAAAGATCCTAAAACCCGGTAACACAACCGATTGGCAACTTCAGATCCACGTGACTAATATGGTATTGACCAACTTGGCGGTTCTTTATGATTTCATTAGGGAAAACTCCGTAAAACAAAAAATATTTCATATAAGATATTAAATAATTAAAAAAAAACTCTTAATTAATTAAAGTAGGATTACTAATTGATTGATAATAAATAAATTATTGACTCAAGTCCATTGGATGCATAATCGTCTGATAAAAGCTTCGATTTACTCACATATTAGACTCCATAAAAAAATACATGTCGATATATGGTGTATACGTGAATAATGATACTACAGTACCAATTTTAGTACGACATTATACACATAGTGACTAACTATATAATGATACGTTTATATGACAATTTTTGAGTATCGATTCTCTAACATAAGTAAGGCCTTAATTGCTACCCGAAAAACGTAACAATTCATTATACTGATACTGTCGACGGAATCCGATTGACGAATTTCACTAATTAGAGCATACAATCCTTTAAAGTGATCCATAATTATCGATACAATCATACACTTACAAACAGTCTGGGAATATTATACCAGTAAATCTTGTGCACGCTATACTCAGATTCGTTTCATTTGTTATTGTACATTTGTTAATTAATTAGCTTCGTGCGCAGTGTCCAATTAAGTTTCCACAAGAGCTAACAAGTGGATTTTTCATAAATAAAGTAATATTGGTTTTCACAAAGTTGTTATGTCAACAAGAAGAAATCTACATATATTCTTAAGATCAGAATATGTTATTATGTCAATTCCTCAAGAATTGTAGGTTGCAAGAAGATAAACGCTAGCGATAGATAAACGAATAAATAATTATAGATTTCTATTTTATGAATATTTATCAGTGAAAATTAGGAAATTAATATATTTTTGTGGAAATTATTAAAATGGATGTCACTCGCTTATATACGATGAATGGTAATAGCTGCACTACTTATTTCACTCGTTCTTATCATACAGAGAACGAATTCTTAATTGTATATTGTCTTAAACATATTAGCATGATTGTTTATCTTTTCTCTGGGTGGCTGTTTGGAGGGATATCGTATTGCTGTAATGGAAATAATCACGGCGAAGCCAATTCGATGAATTCACATTGATCAGACTTTCAATACATATTAAACTTTTCTCCTGTCACGCGATCTAATAACGTAGCACAAATAAATTTGAGTAACTCTTTATAACGAATTTTGAGTAATATACCAACCATGAATTTTTTACAATTATTTTAATTTGGGTACGAAAGTTTTAATATCTTACCCACTATTAAAGTCTTAAGGTGATAAATTCTTAATCCGAATATCGAATCTAAATTTTCAGTCACGAATGGGCACGCGTCATACACTTTGAAATATTACTACCTCTCTGCGCTTGTACTCGAACTACATCATAAGATAGCAAAGAGAGAGACTCAGTCAGAAGAAAAAGAAGCTCCATTATGACAATGGAAATTGCAAGTAGCTTTGCTGTACGCCTGCGTGACAAAATTAATAGTTAGACAGAGCACTTTGATAGGCCTGAACGCAAAGATTTGTGTAATTCACATTAATTATAACGCAGAAGTTAATTACCGTCTTTATAATGACCTTAAGAATTCTATAGTAAACTATCTTCTGTATTATTGCATTATAGGCCTAATATTTCTTGCATAGATACTGTACGTTCTATAAGTGTACTATGGTGTAATATATGTAACTAATACTAGGATACGATTCTGCGTTATATCTTGTGCATTGTACAAATTTTTGTGTACAACCGACATTTTGTCAATTTCTTTAGAACAATCCTTATCATTCTTAAGAGCGACAGATGCACCGACGTGTTCAGTAAATGAACAAATTCGATCTGGCTGACGTGTGTATACCTGGATTAAAGTATTGAGTATTGTTTACAGGTATCTTCGCGTAACATACATTATCATATTATCAATAGACAATACTCGTCATCCTTAATTCCTGACAATCTTCACTATGTTGATCTTGCTTATCGGATGACTGAGTCACAAAACGCACATAGGTCGATCTATATTATATCCATTCATAAGTTTCACGTCCTTAAGTCAGGATCCCAATCATGAAGAATTGGAAAAAAAAGAGAATCAATCACTCCACATCCTGGTTATGATCTAGCCGACTAAGGACTTAACGATCCTGGAGTACTTTGATCACTCTAAGATTGGATACTCTCTTATTACCATCCAAAACAAAAAGTCCACTTTATTCATCGCGTCATGTATGTGCTTCCTCGTCGTGCTCTGATAACAAAGGACACGCATTCTCCGTCTCATCCTGCTCTGATAACAATGGCACCACTTGCTGATTACAAGCATCGGTCTCAGAAGGTCTTCGACTCTGTCCTGGTAATAGAGTCGGTGGTGTAGTTGTTCCTGATGGAGTTGTTGGTGCCGACCTGGACAACCACCTCTTTGGCTTGTTTCTTGATGAAATTGGCAAGCCAAGAGGCATGTACATCTTACCACGTGTCCTTCGGCTCCTGAAGGATGGCTCTTCAGGACTTAAGGGCTGCTGACTTGGAGTGTTACTATTTAACGAATAGAGTACTTGTAGTCTGTTCTGAGGAAACTGTTGGATTTTGTCCAGTAGTTCACGTAGCTGTAGGAAAAAATACATAAAAATATATAATTGAATTCTACTACAGGTCGCGGTTCTAGATTTGTATATTTTTACCTCTATCGTGGGACTTGTAGCTCTTGGTGGAGAGCATGGCGACTGTGCAGCGAGACTGGAAATATCTGAGGTCGTTCTGTGATTCGTTAAAGATGCTATTGAACCGTCATTTAAATTTTCAGGCCTTTCAGAAAGCTCATCTACACTGTTGTTGCAGGAATATGGTGGAGGTATTATTGTGTTAGCCTCGTTGACGACGTTGCACATGAAACTGGAGCTCAAAGAGTCCAGGGTGCTTGCGTGAGACAGTGAGCGGAAGTAACGCATGACAAAGCCGGATGTTCTTTTGCCAACTCCTTCGTCGTAGCCGATGACCAAAGGATAAAGGTCAGGTTTGGCTGTGACCTAAAGTACAAATGTAGAATGGGTAAATTTATAGATTTTTGTATAGTACCACGTTTTTCAAAATATTGAATACGACCTCGTTATAAGGGGGCGGAAGTGTCTGCAAGAAGGAACTGCATCGGCTGTAATGTGGAGGTGGGTAACGTGATCCTGCAGAGGCCATATCTGACGGATGTCTTTCTTCTGCGGGATTTCTTCTACAGCGTCTCCATAGCCAACATCCACAGCCTGCAGCGATGATCAAAGCAATAAGGACTGCAGCCCTGTTATTTTGGAAAATTAATAAATGGTTATTTTCATTAAATTCTATAATATCAAAAAATTATATTTATTTAATACAACCAAATACTAACCATAGATACCAATAGCTCCAAACTAGGAATGTGATCATTTCGGAAACGGGAGATCCCATCTGTAAATATAAATAGCAGCATCCGAGAGAACAACACTCTTTTGGTGGTGAGCATCTGGAAAATAAATATTTGAATAAAATATTTCCTTAGGTACTGGTTTAGATATTTTCAAAATATGTTTTATTTGCAACGTGCAATACAAAGATGCAGATGCAATTTCGGAGTAGGAGAGATAATGAGATTCTACTTGGCATGATTTCCATTGTTCACTAATCACCATTTTACTTGGAAATCTCAAATTTTTTTTTCATTTGTTGTTGCTTAGCAATATGATGATGAGTGACGTGTATGAGGATGATTTCTCGTAACTGGAGAAGGATTAATGGAATTAGAATCGATTGTTAGAAAAAAAAATTGGAACAAGAGGTTTTTACGGAAAAAATGCGTGTAATATTTATTTCATTGATAATGATAAATACAACTATTCTAATCTATGTCCATAACTGCTGATAAATGTACTATGGAGTCATTACAAATAAATACATATGGACTTAACAGTAACGTATGAAGATTTAATCGAATAAATATAACTAGAAATTTTTTTTATAAATCTACGATTCAATTATACTGCAATTACTAACGATAATTCTACCATAAATATATGTATGCTGCGATACATTAAAATTATTTATGTAATAAACTTACACGTGCCCTCCACTACAGATTTTCGCGGCGACCTGGAATTTGCAAAAATCTCTTGTGAAGAATCAACAATCTTGATGCAGTGGATATTATCAAAAAAGAGATTTGTATATTAAAAGTTCTAGGAAAAAATTATCCATGTGCCGCGCCGCCATATTTTCATTAAAAAAAAATAGTTTTTTTATATTACAACATATTCAAGATAATTAAAAAAATAATGTGTTTAGATGTTTAAAGAGATTTTCAAGAGAACACGTTGATCCAATTATTTTCTCAAATTTTCTCGAGCTCCGTGTGTCCGCTTCTGGGAAGTATTGATCGCTCCGCCAGACGGACACTCTTCCACTAGCAGTAGATATTTTGTCTCGCGTTTCCAGATTGTAATTAAACTCATCACCAAAATGAAAAATTTTGACAATAAAATTTAATGCAGCATACAATATTCTTACCATTGCCAGATCTGCCAACGTATTTTTTTCACTCCTAAATAATCTTCGCCTGAACTCACTCTTTTTATACTCGTTTTTATAGGTACGAAGAACACTGTACAATAATTTATTTGTAAAATCTACCGGAATTTTCGAAACAAATCCAACCGAATAAATATCGATATGGAATGTACGAATTTTTCCTTATCAATTCCCAACATCCCGAATCGAGAAACATCCCACTGAAAAATTAATTCCAAATTTTGACAGAGAATAACAGAAAATCAAACTGTCATTTTATTACAAAGATGTATTTTTATCACTGTCACTGCTCGAGTCTTCCATTGATAAACTATATGGATTTTTTTTATTTTAAAAATACCTCTTATTTCAAACAGATAGGTTGTTATGAGATGCCAAGGAATTATGATTCGAGTAAGTGTTGCCGAAATCCAAAATCAAAAAATAACGTATCCTTACTTGATACTGGTCTCACAAGAAGACTAACAAGAACACGATTGTTTCTCGGAAATTTATCGAACTAATTTAACTGAATGTAACCAGCAGATACCGTGTATAGATCCGCTACGGACATCTTGACGATTTAGCCGAAGGAGATTCTGCGCCATAGGAAATCCTCTGCGTGCTGAATATCGACTACATTCATACACCGGCATAATGTAAAACCTTCTAGTTCCTCCAAATCACTTATTATTTCCTGTAGAATTAATATTTTGAATATCCAAACAGTTTAATCAGTAACGTCTAAACACAAAAATCTTTACAAGCAATAAAGGTTGAATAAACATTAAGTACTCAACGGTGAGAGAATTCACTTTTATCAGTCTTCTGGTAAGCAAGAAATGTTGTGAAGACAAAAGATTCATAATATCTGTTTTATCTAAAGATTACATACGGTAATACAGTTTCGAAATTCTGCTGTCAAGTATCTTCGGAGTAATAATGGCGGTATGGTGGGTCAACGACAAAACCAGTAAAAGATAAATATGTTTTATCACTGTTTCAGCATAATTTATCGACGACAAAAATTTGAGATCCAGTGTATCGGCAACGTCATAGCCGTCGCCACATGTTTGCCGAAAAAGAGCGCGAGTGCGCGACGTTCTGACAGCAGACGGCGATGTGGCACCGGGAATTCTAACCTCAGGATAGCAGCAATTTTCCGTGGTGCTTTTTTGTGGATGATGCTGAGGTGGCCCTGAGAAATCTGTTAGTGTGAAAATTGGAGTAGAAAGATTGTCCCGTGTCAGTTTAATCAGTGATGGACAAAATGCGGCTGGTGTTCTTTACAATATTTATCATATGCCATTTCCTGGGCATGACTCTTGCTTGGGATAACGATGAGCTCGAAGTTTTCGACGTCGTTGAGGAGGTTAATCAGAATTTCTACGAATTGCTGGGCGTCCCTCAGGTACGGGTCAAATATGGAAATACCTCTGATCTTTGTATCAATAGTAATTTATCATTGGCTTGTACAAAAGGCTTGAATTTATTTCTCTCATGGCTTTTGCTTCATTGGTATATACTATAGACCTTAAGCATATTTACACTTTAAATATTTATTGTTTCTATACTTTTCTTTCCTCACTGGACATTAGTTATTCTTAAAATAGTAATGTCCTGGTAATATTTATACATTTTTATAACATGGTACATTATATTATGGTGAAAAATAATTAGGTTTATTTAATTTTTTTATGAAACAATTTTTTTCAGGCTGCAAATGCATCTGATATTAAGAAAGCCTTCAGACGCCTTTCTCTACAGCTACATCCCGATAAGAATTCAGCTGCAGATGCAGAGATACAATTCCGAAATGTAAGATATAAAAAAATTGTTTTAATTTCGAAATATTCGAAATTGTAAAATATACGTTTGCTATTTTTTTTAATATTGCCGAATTTCGTGTTTAATGAACATTTTTTTACTGTTATATAATTCCATGAAATATTTAGTTGGTTGCAGTTTACGACATTCTAAAGGATCCAGGAAAGCGTGAACGGTACGACAATGTTTTAGTGAATGGTTTACCCAATTGGCGTTCGGCTGTATACTATTATCGCCATGTCCGTAAAATGGGATTGCTCGAAATGAGCATCATTCTATTTATTGTAATAACAATTGGACAGTATATTGTATCATGGGCGGCTTACTTCGAAAAAAGATACACTTACGTAAGTAAATTTGGCGAATTGCGTAAACAAATATTCAGCATGAATATCAACGTTTTGATATCACGACACTCATTTGCTTCGCTCACATTAGTCGAATTTTATGTTCCGTATCGATATTTTTTTAATTCTCGAAGAGAAAATAGTTTAGTGAATCGGGTTGAAGCCACGAAGGCTGACCGGAAACGTGCTTTCTGCAGGAGCAGGTCTTAGGTAGTAAGCTGCAGAGAATGCAGAAAAAGAATAGAAAGGGCAAAATGGACGTTCCAGATCTGGCTGAGATCTTAGAGAGGATACCGACGCCGAGTGTGTCGGATACGCTGCCTTTCCAGCTGCCAAGATGGACATTCTCCGCGATTGTCGGCGTACCTTCAGCCATCCGTGCCATTAGTGAAATGCTCGAAGAGCGTAAAAGACAGAAAAAGCTTCTCGAGGAAGAAGCAGCACGGTAAGCATACAGATTATTAGTCCACAATGGGCATGAACTGTATTTTTATCACTATTGAAATATACAGCGCACAAGAGAATACAGAACCGGAAGTGGAGCCAGTATCTCGTGGTCCTAGAAGACGAAGAGGTGCAGGCTTCACTCCACAAGAACGTAGCGGTACTGGAGACGTCAGTAGTAAACGTGAACAAGTTCCATTGATGAATGACGTGGTTTCACAAAAACCACGTATCAGTGGAGGTCTCTGGACAGATGACGATATAGCTGAATTAATAAAACTTGTTAAAAAATATCCTGGTGGTACTTCAGATCGCTGGGAAAAAATTGCAGACGCGATGAATCGAACGGTTGCGGAAGTGACGCACATGGCTAAGAAGGTACTGAAGAGGTTCTGTTCCAATTGATTTAATTTTTAAATTATTTTCATTCTATGCTTAGGTAAAAGATGAAGGTCTGAAGCCCGGTCAGTCTACCGAAACGGAAGTAGCACTTGAGGAACAACCAAAGAAAGTCAAAACTCGGGCTGAAGTTGTGGACACAGTCTCAGATTGGAGTCAAGAACAACAGCGTGCTTTGGAAGCTGCCTTAACAAAAAATCCTAAGGGAATGTCTTTAGATAGATGGGAAAGAATAGCCAGTTGCGTGGAAGGAAAAACGAAAGTAAATAATTAAAATAATATTTCTATCGATAAACCTTAAAATTCTGTTACTATTGTTGGATTTTATTTTTCAGGAAGAATGCCAAGCTCGATATCGTCAGCTAGTGGAACTTGTCAAGAAGAAACAACAAACCGAATGACAAAACAGTGCAAGTCTTTGTGGATTGTAAAAAGAAACTATTGACGCGTACTTGATAAAAGATCCGTCACATTTTGTTACAAACTTGTCTTTCTCCCCTTGAGGTGTATTTATTCAATAAATTAATTGATTAACCAAAAGGAAGGTAAGTTCGAGGGGGTTCAACGCTTCCTTTCCTTATGGTTAGTTAGGTTACGCAAACATCAAGATGTTCTTCGAACTATCTGTAAACATGAAGTGTATATGATTTTGTTTGTACAAACTGTTAAATATTACCATACTATCGTCATACTCAAATCTTTTATTTAATTTCACACTCGAAAACGTATATATTTCTTGATCTTGACAAACTTTAAAAATTGCGGAATAATGACTTCTGGTTAATTCCATCAAGTTAGTGTGAATATCGAAACAATTATGTAAGTTGAATAATGTTTTACAGTGATTTTCCCATTAAACTGCTCAAGGCTACCGCCAGAGTTCCATCGAGTATGCCATCTTGTCTTGTTGGACTCATGGCAGGCAGTTACGAATGTTGTGTAGGTGTAGAAGGCGTTACTGGAGATAAAACAATCAGATTCACGGCGTGTGTACCGCACTTGTCACGTAAACGTTGTCACACGAAAACTCTTACCAGTTGTCAAAGCTTTTAGCTCGTGTGCTCTATCCGGTTTCACTCGTAGAGGCTCCGTAGATTTCGAAAGCATGGAAAGCTACGAGAGCGTTTTGCTCGTCAAGTCTGAGGTGTTTGTCTTCAAAATTCCACCGAGGACGACCAATCGAGGTTATCGGTAAGAAAATAAAATATGCGATCTGTCAATATTGCTGCACGTTTGGCCATGTAAGCGTTAGTGATTTAAAAAAAAAAGGTTCAGCAAAAATTACCGATGTATTTAGGTTTACGTTCTTATTTGAGTTTACATATTCCATTTGGTTTACTTAATATTTACGCTTTCTGATTAATAACTTTCGCAACGTCACCAAAAAAGAAATTAGTATGTGGGCGAAAGAAATTTATCGTTATCGGTTGGCCCTTATCGGTAATATTTGCTTGAAAAACTCGGACAAAGATTTGAAGGTTCAACTGACGTCACAATATTCTTTATGTCTTGCTTAGGATTAAAATGTTTAGTTACAGATGTCTTATATTATTATTTATATATAATTTTTGTAGGTGATTACTATCTGGATATAAATTATTTAAATTACGTAAAACATAACTATGGTTTTTACTATCAAGGGAAGTGTTGGAACAGAAGCAGTTATTATTATCACTATTGCAGGAAGTTCTGATTCTCACTTAGTATCATACTTTTTCTTACTTGCAGTGCAGCAGACTGGAATTTACAAGAACCATCTTGGACAGGTCGTATGCGTTTAGTTTCTCAAGGTGATGCAATTACTTTGAAACTGGAGGACAAAGTCAGTGGGGATCTATTTGCAAAATGTCCTATTGAGCAGTATCCTGGAATTGCTGTAGAACCTGTCACTGATTCCTCAAGGTACTTCGTCCTACGTATCCAGGATGACAATGGACGTTCAGCTTTTATCGGAGTTGGATTCCTCGACCGATCTGACAGTTTTGATCTTAATGTAGCGTTACAAGATCACTTCAAATGGTTAAAGAATCGTGATCAGATTGAAAAAGAGAAAGAACGACCAAAACAAGAGCTCGACCTACGATTTAAGGAGGGGGAGACTATAAAGATCAATATGAAAATAACGGTAATCCTTGCTTCTCTCCAAAACTACAAGACAATTAATCAAAAGTCGACTTAAAATTAATACCCATTCATTTCTCCCTATCTACAGAAAAAAGATGGCAGTGAAGTTTCCCAAAAAGCCAAGTCACGAACGAATTCGGCAGGTCTTGGTTTGCCTCCACCACCAGGGGGTGTAAAAATTGCACCACCTCCAGCTCGAACACCAACATCATCCCCAGCACATAGGCCTGCTCAGTCAGCACCAGGTGCTACTGGTCAGCCAGGTTCTGAATGGGGTGAATTTGCGAGTGCGTCTCAGCAACAGCAACAACAACAACAGCAGCAGCAGCAACAACAGGCACCATCGTCAAACGCTAGCTGGGTGCAGTTCTAAACACACTGCCTTGCAACAATTTGCATTGGCTTGCCTAGATTAGGATCCTTATTCCCATCCTCGTGCATACGACGTATAGTAATATCCTTCAGAACGTGGAACTTCAAGGAGGACCCAGGACATCGAGCAGTATGGTATGACGTAATCTAATATAATATAATTAAAAATAGGGAGGCACGTGACTTCGAGGTGTGTATTACGCATGCAATGATCTCCATTTTCTGTCTGGAGACAGAACTGTTAAAGGCAACGGTACAAAAACCGTTTTGTTATTCTTTCCTTGATAATTATTCCTAAGAATATCTCACGATCGTGAGATAATATAGCATTCAGACTAGTATCGTGTCTGAGCAGTACTTTTCCATGAACTGAATACGTGATCAGGATTTAAAAATGGCAATATGATTCATTGAAAGAATTGAATACTTTCAAAAGGAAGACACTCGATACGCTCCAGTAAGCTTCTCTGTTTAGCTTTCTCTTATTGATTTCTGGACTGCAAACTGATCCGCAACAGAGAAACAGTTTAACGGGTGTTTACTTTAAACACACGAGAAACGTGTGTAAATCATTATTTGTCTTTTATCAAGTGTTCAGGTATCATTATCAATGTATTTTCATTAGATAAGTCGCGTGACAAAACCCAATTCTCGGAATCAGTATTTTTAAAGATATCCTGCGCAAGGTCCTCATTGCTGTTCTTGAACTGAATTTAAACAATTGATATCAACATATCGATATCAATTTCTTCGTCGACTTGAAGAATTCCAACGCTAGGCCGGCTTTCGACGTCTGTAAATAACTACTCGAAATCCCGAGGAAGCGCGCCGGTTTCTCATCTTGGCCTAAAACACTCAGAAGAAGTAAAAGTACTTCCTCTAGGCTCTTTGAGGTTCAACACGAAGCACATTTCTTAATTTAAGTTGCAACGTTCGAAGAAAATGTTTCAAAATGTTCAAAACCGTAAGCGGTTTAGGACGTAGCATAACGAGAAGCAGAGGGCGTTATATATAAAGAATTAAAAAAAAAAAGAACGATAAGAAATCAAGTGGCGAACGATTCGGTGAGAAGAGAAAGAAATAAAATTCAAAGAAACACGGGTTACCTTTGGAATACTTTAATAATTTTCGATCAATTTGTTAAATGTCAAATCGACTCAAATCGTAATTGCATTCGCTGTGCGAGTGCGAGAATGTCCTTGCGTCGTTTATTCGTTAGGAAAAACTTCAAAGTTTATTGCATTACGTTACGTATCACAGTGAAGTACGTTTTACAAGTTGAAGTATATATTCTGAAGTTTATATCAAGTAAACTATGCCGAAACGTTCGCGGTGCGCGTTGTACATTACTGAATGAGTAAGAGAAGTAGAATGATGGCGGAAGGGATCGGAATTGACCGAATAAATAATTCAGCTAACTAATAAAGGTCACGCGTGTCGTGTCACTGAGTGAACTTAAGGTACCCTCGTTACTTAGCATATAAGACTTAGGTTATACAGGAGATTCGCAAATTCCATTCCACGATGTATATTTTCTTCGAGAATTTTTGTGAGCGCCTACCGGAACCGGTTACTGAAATTTATTGGAAAAAGAAATATTCAGGTGTAGTAGCATATAGGGTGGCGAAATATAACAAATAATGAATTGACTTTAATTAAGAATCTCTTTCGTTTCATTCTTTCACCCGTCACTGTCCATTGTATCCGGTTTTCTTTTTTCATTTCTTTTTCCAATCCAATTTAAACGTATGTAAGGAGGTGGGGGTGTAAAATACTAGACAATAGGACTACTTCATAAACATGCAATTCACACAAAAAAATAATTATATTTAAAGATGTATGATTTACGTATACCTATATGGCACTGAACATGTATCCCTATCAGAGAATTCTAAAAAAAAACAATTCAATGTAGATCGATATACAGGGGTTGAAATTTGAAAATAAACGAATTATGGGCATGCGGTACCAGCTCAGCATGCTCAGACGTAGAATGAATTTCTGTTTAATAACGCTAAAAGAAGAAAAATTAATTAAAACTATTAAGGTTCAATTTTTCGTTAGCCGATTAAAATTGAATGACATTCAAATCGGATGGTTTCATCTGTCAAGCATCGTATCGATTCTAGATATTACCTTAACAAGACCTCTTGGTAACTTGCTCCCAGGAGAGTACAACGAAATCAAATATGAAAGAAAAACAAATAAGAAAAAAAAAAATCGCCACTGGCACGATTTCATTTCTTCGTCAGGTCGCCACTCTTAATTAACCGTACGGTATTACGTCCGGTTCCGACCGGGATCCCTAGCTAAGGATATCACTAGATTGTTATATTCTCTATTATTATATTGTATATTTATGTCGTCAATATAATAAACCGCATAGTCAGTAATAACTTATAGCAGGCTTAACTCAGATCGAAAACGTCTGTATAAGAAACAGCAACTGCACTTGCAGTAACCCGCCTCACTAAGGTGGCAAAAATAATATAAATATTTCCTTGATTCCTCTTTTCTTTTCTGTGTGATATCAAAGTGTGGAACTGTGTGTTGTGTGGTGGGGTGGTTAGGTGGGTGGAGGGTATAGCGACCCAAAACCGAGTCGTCCGTCATCATTTCTCATCTTTACAGAAACGAAAAAGACTTTTTCAGGAAGTTTGAATTCGTTGCTGTCTTACTGGAGACTCGTTTATCTGGACCATAATGTGTCCTCAGCGTACAACGGAGTCTATTCATATGGAATCGAAGGTTTAGATGACACTTGTGATACGTGCAAATAATGAGTCGATGACCCGGCTTCCAAGGAGGATATCCATTCTATCACAGTCGCACGGGAGAACGCCCGGATTAAATTTATTAAGATGATTTTGTCTAGGGTGACACTAGGAGCATCAGCAACGCTTCGGACCACGAGATACATTCAGTCGCAGACTTCGCATAGCCATAGCACGATTGAAGTGACGCTGCGATGGTCTTTGGGCTTGTTGCTCCGAGGAAAGAGTCGAATCTTCTTCGCACTCTACGCTGCTTAGTACAACTAGCAACACGCCTAGCACCTATTAGATAATTGGAATGTAATGACAGATGTTCTTATTACGATAAGGCTGATCTTGTTGAAGTTACGTACCAGGCAGACTATGATAAGTAGAGTGTAGATGTGTATACTGGCTGTTGGAAGAGACTCAACCTCTTTAAGAGCTTCAGCTGCATCCGATAAATCTGGTTTGAGTTCTAACGCGTGACGAAGGTGAACGGCGGCTTCTTGAAAATGGCCGTATGCCTGTAATTAATATTATGGTCATTGCATAATCCTTTCTTAATTGGACTATTTTTAGGATATTCAAGGAATTTCACGAACCTTGAATATTTGTCCAAGTGTTAAATACTGTTCCCAAGCATTGCGATCAGGGGGCTGTAACTCTAGTGATCGTCGTGCCAGGTACGTTGCGTCGTCCAGGTACTGTAGTACCAGAAGAACCCTTGCCAGGTTTAAAAGAACTTCTGCATTGTGCGGGGATACGGCCAATGCTCTTCTGAAGCATTCGATCGACCTTTGAGCGTTGCCTTTTATTCGCCAGAAATTACCAATTTGATTGTACAGTTGAACGGATTTTGGTTTCTAACGACAGAAATATTATAATTTGATAATCGAATATTTATTTGTTCATATTAATGTTTGATTAGTACGTAGAAAGATAAGGGGATTTTACCTCGCGTTTCGCCTTTTTCAGACGGCGCTCTAACAGGTCGACGTCGACGTCGCCGATCTTTGCACCCTTCTTCCTGAACATTAGAGCGACGTTAGGCTCCGGTACTGGTGGATGTAGATTTCGATTCGCAACACCGACCAGGTTGTCGTAATACGTAAAGTTGACGGGTTTCCCGCAGTCGAGTACAACGTCTTCGCAGTGCTGCACAACCGTTCCGCAGGTAGCTGATGACGAGGATGAGGATGACTCCATCAATTCCGTCAAATTCGATGACTCCATCAGGTCGTAGGATGCTGCGAGTCCTCTGATAAGGGGATAAAAGTTAGCATAAAGTAAATTTTTAAATGAATCCCTTTGTTAAGTACTCTTTGATTTCATAAGTTTTATAATGTTTTTCTGCGTTAGGAATTATTATTTAATATGAAAATATTATGTATTGCTTCTCTGTCATGGGATTTGGGATAGATAATGTTTGGTACTGTTATCAACATTGATAAAATCTTGGTGACAAATATATTTTGATTGTTATCATTACACGGGAAAACAAGAATATTGCGTAATGTTGAATTCAATACCTTTATAAGGCAATACCATCCATTGTTATGCAGAACAATGTTTAATCTGACATTCAGCAGAATATTGAAAGCAGTGAGAAATGTGAATGTTCAGTACAGAGGTGAAATTATTATGTATACGACATATATTGTTACAAAAAAAATATGGCTTGTTGCATTAACAGAAGGAAGGATGCAATTCTTGTAGCCAACAATGGATGAATGCAGTAGGTCAAACAATAGAGCGGATGATACAAACAATGCGGGAACAAGATGCAAAGGCGAACATTAGTAGTGACAAGAATATAGCAAAAATAAATGAAACATCAAATCGAGCGGAGAACAGAATAGATTAAGCTGTTCTCGCTCACCGGTCACGGGTGCCAACAAATGACTCGCATTCCGCACAGAAGAGCTGCACTTTCTCCTGAAGAAGTTTCTCTTGGGTAGCGGATTTGCTCCAACCCTGACCATTAGACAAACCGACGCTGCTTGCGAGGATGTCGAGGATGGGATCTTCGTCGAGGTCGTTTAAGCGAATAACTTTGTCCGCGCTCAATCGCCAGGACGTACGTGAATTCGTCATCGCTGCCTGGACGAGCACCAGGATGCACGACCAGATGCAACGACCTGGCCGCATAATATGCACTGTCCTCTATGCACTTCGGCTCTCGAGTCTCTTCTGAATCTCTTCTGCTAGATCGCACATTAGTGTAGCCAGACTTGGACAAGTTTTGCTCGACAAGACTCATCCTTAATTCTAAAAGGTTCTACACATGGAGTTGAGAATAGTTCAGTCCTGTCGCTTTCGTGTATATACAGGCATATTAATTTTGCGAACTCTGCCGGTGGTATCGGGAACTTCGGCGAAGCCTCACCATCTCGGTACCGCTATATGTCGCTAGGTAGCGTCGCCAGGACGAATTTGTAGGGAACCTATCACATCGGTTCCGGGCTCAACGGAACGACCAATAGCAGCCGGGCCGGACAGCGACCAATCAGCGCGGTTCTTAAACATCTCTGGTGCTTGTACTTCAATATGGCGAACCACGACAAAGGACGCAGAAAGTGGGGAGGAATTTCACAAGGTACTTTGAAAAAAATTAGATCGCGAATCGAACGTGTCAAAATTATATAGTGTTTTAGTAGGAAGCATCAGAAGTTGTGTCCTGTCGTGATCACCGGGTAGTTTTTACAATTGAGTGAACGGTAACAGGAAATTAACCTCACCAAACAAGCTAACCTAAAAGTCGCATTAACGCCGCAATTTTGATTTGTTGCCCGAAATAAGCGGCCTTCGTCGTATAAAAATAGTGCTCGTCCCTAAATTGCACGTATTCCTGAGAAATCATTAAAATATATTTGCCATACGCGCCGCATTACATAACTATTATCTTTTCATCGTTCTTCCACGATTACTTTAGTTATTTGTCAATTCTGTCAATGATCATTTTTACGAATTCCGGTCTTTATTGTGATCTAGTATCTGTTATCTTTGTTATCTTCGTTATCTAGTGCAAAATTCAAGCATCAGCTGGTCCATTTCTGCATGGGCACTTTTATATTTTGTATCAAAACTTCTGCACAAGTTCATTTGACTTTTCTCACTTATCTTGCATCAGACATGATTTTTTAAATTTGTTCCAGAAAGATCTTAGTACTATTGCGACTTTTGCACTGCTTTAATTATTTTTTCTTTAGGTATTATTTATTATTTTCAATTGCTTTTCTTTATAGAGATACAGTTATTGAAAATAGCATCTCTGTATAGATAAACAAATTTACTTTTCTAAACATACTTTTTTCTTTTCTTTATTCTTCTTGATATTTTATCGACTGTATGCATTTATTGGTGATTCGTAATAAGCATTTGATGCTTCATATTTTATAAAATTTTGTATACTATTATTTAAATGGTTTACTGTTTTTTAAAATTATTCTAATTTTGTCAATCCATTGATAGTATAATTTACAGCAACACGTTAGATATATGCAATGTGGTATTTTCATTCTATACTTACATTGTGGTAGGAGGTACCTTTCACTTTCCATTGAGAGATCAGAAGCCATAAATAGTGGTTCATAATTCAAATAATGATACACATTGATTAATTCCAGAATATCCATGAAAGATCCATGAATGAAACTTGAAATATAATAAAATGGATGAAGTATAAGGGAAATATATATAATGAGTTAAAATGACCTTTTCAGATATCCGAACAGATTCGAAATTTGATATCAGCAGATCAGCAGGAATGCGGGGCGGAGGAAACAGAGCTCCACCTCAGGCCATTTACAGACCAGGAAGTGGGCCTCTTCGTAAATCAGGTCGTTCGAACGAGGACTTTGATAATGAGAACAATGCGCAAGATAGGCCAAAACCAAGCTCCATCCAGTATCGTTTAAAGCAGTCGCAATTTAACAGTCCCAATCAGATACAGAACAGTCCACCATCATCCCAAATTGACGACATAACCACAAAATTGAATGACGTGCATGTGAACTACAGAAACAATAGCAATAACGATCAAACACAAGGGTCCTCTAAGAATAATCAGATGGGTGGCGATTCCAGAAAGAAAAATAAAAAGCCAGAGCAACAACTATACGTGCCAAAGAAAGTTAAAGAGGCTTTAGCTGGGCGCGACGTGTCCAACAGGTACTAATAAACATTTTTAAATATAGTTTCCCAAAATTGTTTGTCTGCAAAACTGCATTTATACGTAATCGCTAATTAGATCTCCAACACATGGTACCTGGGATCGTGACAGAGACGACAAAGATTGGGACACCCAGTCAAATCGTAGTCATCGCAGTGAGAGTCATCGACATCATCGTTCTGGTGGTCATAGCGGAAGTCACAGTGAAGCAGCAAGTCGCAGAGACGATCATGGAAAACGTTACTCGGGTAATAGACGCAATCGTAACGCCAGTGAGAACGACGAACGCTGGAGATCAGATTCACCATCCGCGGCAAGGAATTTTGGAAATCGCCGAGACAATCCTCGTGAAGTCAGACAGGTAAAGATATAAATTAGAAACCACTTTTTTACTTGTTTATTCACATTTTGATTCTCATCCATGAAAAATAGGGTTCAGAGCCGCTCTTTGAGACACCGCTAAATACCAATGATCCAAATCGTAAACGGGATACGCGTAGTGTCGAACCTACCGGACATCCTGATAAATTTCAGGGTAAACCACCTTCTGGTAGAAGAGGCAGTGTTAAAGAAGGTTGTACAACTAACAGCATGAAACACCTGGATCTCCTTCCTCTACGACTGCGAAAGAAATTTATTGAAGATGGTACTGGGTCTATAGGAATCACTGCTATAGGAACTTCCTCTGAAGACACCTGGGACGGTAGTACAGTGACTTTTCAGGTCTGGTTCTAATCAGTTTTAATTTATAACCTTGAAGATGTTGATTATGCATTTCCTCTATGTGATATTTAATCTTATATCCGGGTAGGGTTCTTCGGCTTATCACTATCCACCTGCTATGCAGCATTCGCAGACTATGCAGAATTTACCACCCACCGGTCCCCTGCCTCCTCAACAATGCTGGTCGAATACTGTACCAGCACGAAGTAGAGGTCGAGGAAGACTTAGGCCTGAAGAAATTGAATCCCCAGCACCAATCTTTAGGCCTGTCACACCGGATCAGTATTCGGCACCAAGTACACGTTCGCATACTCCAAGTCAGGACTATATGAATAGGTGAGTCCTTTGTTCTGTTATCTTATCGAATTCTAGCTATTGATTGTAATGGGATCTTTTTGAAAGTATTCGAAAATATTAGGATTATTCTGTAATGATAAACAATAAACAGATCGTATGATCGTCGCGGGAGTAGCAGCACTATGTATACTAGCATGGAAAGTCTTAGTCGTGCCGATAGTATACTTATGCCACCACCACCAGCAGTGTCACCCTCGACGACTGTAACTAATTCAAATAGATGTCAGCCATCGCCGGATAATCATCAAGAAGGCGTATCCTTGCCTTCTGCATCTCAACAACAAACTTATCAAACGTGAGATCTGTTTTATTACTAGTATAATTTAATATATGTGGTTCTAACGGTGCCATAGCAATCTTAATTGGGTTTTTATTGTACAGACAACGCGTTAACAATAATTCCTACGATGCCATTTCTACAACAGAAAAATCAAACAACCAGCAGACTTTAAATCTTAGTCCAACCAAAAGTGAACCTTTTAGTCCTATACCGAATTTGTCTTCTGAGCAGCCATTGGTGAGTTTTTGATTAAAGGAACAAAAAAAACGTTTGAAATTGTTTAATTAATTTTTGATAATTTAGGATTGGTGCGAGGAGGTAGAATTGAATGAAAAATTAGAGGCTGAACATATGAGTCGTAGTTCATCCATGATGAGTCTGCGCGAGAATGCAAGTGTTTCCGGAAATCAGCCGCCAATAGGAGGAAGTGTCGGACGTCAAAGTAATAGAAAAAAGAAACGAAACAGAAGATATGGTGGCGATCGGTACGATTATTATTTATATTGTTGTATTAATCTTTTGTTTTACGATACTGGAACTCTGTCATCTATTGATTCTCTTGTGGTATTGTGCGAATGAGTTAGTTGCATTCTGATTGTTCAAGAAGCAATAGCAGGGATAAGGTCAGGGAGAACAGTTGTGAGCGACAGAACAATCAACACAATCGAGAGAACGATAACTATAACAACAACCAGAAAAATACAAATAGCAACAGAAGATACGACAGGAGACACCGTAACATCATTCATCGTAGTCGAGAATCCAGTAAAGACAGAAATTATCGTACTGGATATCGGAATACCGATGATTTTCATAGAAACAGGTAAGAATGTACCAAGTCATTGCTAGTTTTATAAAGTTATAATCAGTGCGTGTTCAGTGGCATTCAACTTTTCTTGTGGTATAGGGTGACAGATCATACAGAGGAAAATTGGAGAAGTGGTAGAAAGACTTCCATTTGTGAGTCTGAAGATGGTAGACGAACACCTTGCCAACCAATAAACACTGTTCATCCATCGAACACTGTTAATCAACCGAATACCAGTACAAATTTGGCCACTAAACAGACATCTCCTACAAGTTGCAGCAATGCTCAACCAGGTGTTCTTGTTTTACCGGAAAACTCCAGCCACTCGCCACCTAGTGTGACGCCACCTAGGCAACTAACTGCTTCACAACAGCAAAGGACATTGTTCGACCCTAACAATCCTAATAAGCCAATTATAGTGACTTCAACAGGAAACAGAGCATCCGTGCAGCATAGGTGAGTGTTCATCGATCAGTCCATTTTTATTGCGAAGGTTAAATAAGATTTGTCTAACAATTGGATTATGAATTATAGAGAAAATGAGGTTCCGGCTCAAGTATCCAGTGTTCCTATATTTCCATCACATTCTGGGATTACTTCGAACAATCATAACTTTCAGCTACCCCAGTTGGACACTGCACCTCCACCTTACAATCCTGATCAGTTTGGTAACATGAGACCATCCTGGTACGATGTCTCTTCGGAGAGGTCAGTTAAATTTTTTGCCTAATATCAATCGACATTCCTGTTTCGTATAAAGATAAAAAAAGTCAAATCTATGATTTTTCCCATAGCTTCCGAGCTGCTAGAAACAATCGTATACTCGTGGACATAGAACACGCCGATTTGGAGTTACAATGGATATTTACTTCAGGCAAATTTATGACACAGTGGGAGAGCGTTTGCAAGAATAGAAACTGCCTTCAGAATAGTCTAAGGTCTCTCCTTGAGACGGATATAAAGTTCTGCGAGGCGGAGAACGTTGAACAGCACATCTGGAAGATTCTTTTCTATAATATAATCGAGTTGCTGCGCAAGGGTATGCCAAAGGAGAATTCAGTCGAACGAGATTGCTACAAGAAGATCATGCTGGGTGTCATTGACGAGGGTACAGCCTACCTGGAGAGTTTGCTGATAGTCCTCGAGAACACGTACAAAATCAAACTAGATACTTACTTGGGATCTTCAGCACCGACTAAGGGTCTTGGTATTCGCGGATTGGCCCTGATAAGCGCTCACAAGATATTTTTATTTCTTGGCGATTTGGCCAGGTACAAGGAACAAGCGAATGAGACGAACAACTACGGAAAGTCCAGACAGTACGTATTTTTTACAATATCTTCACTTCCGTTTTATTTGAAACCTGCATGAACTCTGTGATCTTTCAGATGGTATCTCAAGGCTCAACAAATCAATCCCAAGAACGGGCGACCTTATAATCAATTGGCATTGCTCGCCCATTACGCTGTAAGTATAATAATTGGATGATCAATTCCGTATATTGCCCAATAAATTATACGTTTTGACTTTGTTGTTATAGAAACGAAAATTGGACGCGGTGTACTATTACATGCGGTCCCTAATGGCGTCGAATCCATTTCGTTCAGCCCGTGAGAGTCTAATAGCGCTTTTTGATGAGAACCGCAAGAAGGTAGGTCCAAGTAAAAAACGACCATAAAATAACTCGAGACGGTATTTAATTACGCGAGGTTAATAATACCTGTAAATTTTCTTTTGCCGCCAGTATCTACACTATGTAAGTAAAATTCAGTACTTGGTGTGAAACCTCTTTAGATATCATTTATTCGCTGTCGCTGCAAGAGGCTTCTCTACGTTTCTGTTTTTACCCACGTATTCACTTTTAGTAACTTTCTATGTGGGACTATACGTGCACAGCAGATCATTATGCACAAGCGCGATTCAGGCATGTTCAATTAGTTTGTGAGACACTAAGATAATAGAAGTAAATTAATTAATCGGGCCGAATAAAAAGCAGTCATTAGATCGCATTTTAATCGTTAGCACAAAAATATCTTTTTACATCACGCACCTTTTATACCATTCCAAAAAGCAGATGCACTGCTGCTGTTTTATTTACTTAATTTTTGTACTCCATTGCTATGTTTTACTCAAGTATTTGCATGCACTTCCTGCGTAGACGGAAATAGTCACAAGAAAAAGATAGAGCCTGATAGAGATATAGAATCTTTGATTCTGTCATCTTAACCTGTGAATCATTGAACGATGATAATTTCTGTAGAATATTAAACATACAAATAATGTATCATAAACAGTACGAATCGACGGAACGTAAACGGAAGGAAGAAAGAGAATGGAAGGAAAGGGCCAGGATGAAGGAAAAGGAAGGTGCCAGTTCTTCAGGTGGTGGTCTTCGTAGGGAGACCTGGATTCATCCAGGTGGAAGACGTGTAAGGCGTACAACCTCAGCAGCCACAGCTAACGAGGCCAGACTGGCTCAAAGCGACCTTGAGGAATTTGCGGAGCTTACCAGTGTCGAGGTACAGTACAATTTTAACCATAGGATATATCAAATTATTCATACTCCTTGTTTCTCATTGAACTCAATCTAATTCGACATAACGGATTGATTATAGGTGAACAAGCGCTTCATAACATCCTACCTCCACGTTCATGGAAAGCTGTTCACCAAGATAGGGTGAGTCATTGATGTTATTTATTTATTTTTCATATACCTCAAACTGCAGGTAATCCTGATTTTCCCAGTTTCCGGTATACGAATGTCTATGAATTCTTTCCGGTCGAATCGTATATTCCCGGCAAGATACCCATGCCGAAAAGTATTATAGAAAATAGCAAAGATTTAAATTTACCTAGACTTAGAAAAAAAAACCTTGCAAGAGCTTTGAGCGTCTCTACTGCAAAAATGTAGTTGATACCGCAGCGATTATTCGCCAAGGACTCATGAACTTTTACTCCGTCATGACACCGTCATGAATCTCAAATAATTTATGTCCGTCAGATGTAATCTCCCAGTAAGAAGGATGGTTCTGGGTATTATCACGAGTAGAGTAAAGGAGGCTTTATTAAGGCAAATTTAGTCGAATGAAAGGTCCGTAGCAGTTGAATGCAGCTCTGCTTTCTGTTACTGCTTGGATCCACGAGGTAGTAGGTTTTCTTTCACCTGGTCCAATCATATTGATCAGACCTGATGAAAGGCTCCAACCGTCTGACGCAATTAGTCGTCGTACCATCCATACGTCTAGTACGGAATACATTTAATTTTAGAGAAGGTAATGAAACCTCTCATGAACAATGTTGAGTCTGAGATGGTAGCCAACGACAGGCCATCATTCATCCCGGATAAAGGTAGCTGATAGAGTTATTATTACCAAGTTAAAAAAAAATATGGTCCTCAAGAGGAATAACCAGAAACCGTGACAAATGGGGCATTTTATTAAAACTTTGTACCCTTGTTCGAGAAATATGACTTTTGCAGTAAAAATTTATTATCGAATATTCTGACAGTGAAACGTGCTGCATAGAATTTTTGTTTTCACGAGGAAAGTCAAGTAATTGTGTTTTCATCGGTAAGAACCGGATGCTGGTCTCTTTTATGGGTAAGAGAAATACTCTTACCTGGAAGAACATATCTACTAATGGTGCCACAAGTGGAAGATGTAATATTCACCAGGAGGCAGTCACGACCTTACTTCTGGAAGCTGGGATAAAGGAGTATTGCTAACTGCACGAGGATAAGAGAACGCGAGGGAATTGTTCTATGGAAACGGACGGTTCTCCGACTTACTTCCAAGGATAATTATTACCCAGCTATCGGGTGTGAAGAGGTCACGAAGTGACGTGAACTCGGAAACGTCCTGTGGCTCTATTGGTTTTCAAGGAAATCCAGGTCCGGCCAACCTTGGAGATAGGCTCAGTCGCGTTCTTCATGCTCCTAACGCTTCTCGATTCCTGTTAGAGATATCAGTTAACTATTTAGTCTAGGAATCGCGAAATTCCAAAGAACGTACAAAACCATCGTAGTCGGCACGTACGATCCCGTTGAGTCGCGAGTCGAATCGTTAAGGCGACGCCGAGCGTGAATGGGAATGAATAAGATTGGAATTGAGACTGAGATTCCACGCGTTGAACGATTCACGTAAAGGGGAAATCGTTTGAGCGCGAGCACGTGACTGGCACCCATGCCTTCCCGTCGGCCATTATTTCTCGGGGTCATTCGATTTGCCAAGGATCCGTTATTCCTCTCGAATTAAGCAGCGTGACGGCCGGTACCTGATCAACGGTATTGTCCATATCGGTGAAGATCCTCAAACGCTCTGTACCCGACCTGAAAAGAAAATCTGAGAGTAAACGTTCACTGGTTCAGGATACAGCCTTCGTGGAGGATGACCCACGTGACACACGCACGATGAAGGGATCAGGGATGCTGCAGGGTCAGAGACGGGTATCCTACACGTATGATGACTTTGGATCTGGATCTTAATACGTTGATGAATTATTGAACAACCTGGTAACTGTGATTCTGTTCCAAGGACCCCCAGCAGATATACTCGAGTTCGTTTGAAAGGCCTGAAAGGAAGAGGGCGCCCAGCATCCCCGTCGTCTCTTGGACCGTACCCATCCACTTCCAGGATTGGAGCTTTGACGTTCGCTCGTAAGGGAGACGGGAGAATCTGCACGTTCTCCATTTAAGAGCACAGAGTGGACCCTGGAGAGACTGACGTTGCTCTTGTTGGAAATTCCCGGTAACGGAGCTCTGACTCTTCAGTGGCTGTTTACATATGTTACACATACTCATTTTTCTCACGCCCCACTACGTCCCTCTCTCTGGTTATAATAGCACCTATCTTCTTTATTCCTCAGCGAGTAATCATCGTTCGAGCTTTCTCACTCTGGACCTGACAATGGGTCCCTTCCTTCCTTCGTTTGGATACCCGCTCATCGCGGCTTTCCAGCCTCTCCCTCGTCTTCTCTCTCCTCTCCCGTTCACATGCCAGGAGAGAGAGAGAGAGAGAGAGAGAGAGAGAGAGAGAGAGAGAGAGAGAGAGGGGGGGAGAGAGAGAGAGAGAGAGACGCAGAACCGTTCTCCACACAGTGGCGACTTCACCGGGTTCATTGTACCAGGGTTGAGCATTGTGTCGCTCCTCGCTCGTCCCAGGAACTGTCACATGCGTACATATAACATCAGTTTTGCGGCAAAGAATTGCCTTCCTGGAAAACGTCGCATCAACGAGCACTGGGAACCGCCTCCTGGTTATGTAAGCACACAGAGACACAGGCGAGCCCGAATACCACGGACTCTCTTCGACGACTGGCCAAAGGAGCTAGTACGCTTCTGATTAAGAATCCTGGTCAAACGGAACAAGGATTTACCGTCTATCCGGATCCTACCAGAAGACGAGGCATGCCGTTACCCCACGACGGATGCCAAGCGGATGCTATCGCTAATGACTGAAACTCTGAATCGCTTCTGTAAATCATATCAGTCGCTAATTACGTGGATGCACCTAGTCAGTGCAATTAAATGCATCCAGCTCGGGCTCTTGGTGAGATCTGACCTTGGACTTTTAAATGACTCTTTCGCTGCTTCCGAGTGCACGATTCCCATGCGCGCCAGGATCGCTACCAGGCACCTCTTCTTATTTTCTTCTTGCGCAGTCTCGGAGCACAGCTGCACAGACGTTCACCTCCGTAGGACACCATGTGTAAATTTGCTGCCGCGGACGACCTTGCCCTTGCTCTCGCACCGTCCCTCGTTATATAATTCCATACCGCATGAGAAAGCAGACTCACCGTACTTGGGCAGTCAGCCTTCGAACGGTCTCCCGTACGGAGGGAGAAGGACGACGAGCGAGTAACCGAAGCAAGCGTGTATTCTTATTCGCTTCTTGTGAAAGATCATCTCTTGGCCAGTTCTTTCCTACTCTCTTGGCAATTTCGGAGAAGTCAAGAGAGAAGAAATGACAAGGGCCACGTATTCACTCAGGCCCCTATCTACGTGTGCGCCATGTTGTATTCTCAGCTGGACAAAAAACCAAGCTGATTGTCACACGTACCTCCGTTACACGTACTGCCAGGATGTTTCGACCTGTCGAAATGATAATTCGAAAGCACTCGGTAGCGCGAAGAAAGAAAGAAAAGAGAACGATGGAAATTATGCCGTTGCTTATTCCACCCAAATACTCGCTCCTCGTCTCCTTGCAATATTTACGGCCAGCTGCCGACTGGCTGTGGTCAGACTGTATTCGGTGACCATAACTTTTCGATGCGGTTTTCACGAGACCGCTGCTACGTTCGAGTGGCTTAGCTGAAGACGAAGAGGATAGGATATCCCTATTATATGCTGATGGTGCGGTTGACTGCCTGTCCGACTGCCCGACATATGCATCTCGTAAAAGCCACCGGGTCCACCTCCACCGGTATCGAGTAACAGAATAACAACGTGCTACCGGTGCGCCACATAACCTCACTTTTCTTCACTCTCACTCTCTAGCCCTCGACGTCTCTTTGGACTTGAGGTTAGAAAGTTTTGTTACGTGAAAGAATCTGTGCTTAGGGTTTTTTTTTGTCTCCTTTTTTCGAGTTCAGCCTCACGCGGATGATGGTCTGTACGGATGGGTATGCGATTAGCAATCCATTGCACACATAATCATAATGAAATGTATTCCTGCCACGGTCTGGAACCCTGTTGGGTCCGTAGGTTGGTAGGGCCTGGCCACGTACGCGGCACGTAGCTTCGTGTTTTCTTTCGCGGCGGTAAAAATGTTAATTGACAATTGCGTGGCGCCACTGGCCACCGTCTCGCTTCAGCGTCTCGACCCGAGTGCATCTCTAGCGAGGAGCAACCCTCCTGGACACAGCTTGTTCCACTCGGAGCGGACTCGGCGCATGCTGGTGCTCGTTGATCGGGCTGGAAATTATTCTTGGGAATTTAGAATGACCTGGGTATACTCCTACGGCGACTATTAGGACGATCAGAGGAGACGTGGTACCTTCGGGCAAACACATTTATGGATTTCTCCAAAAGTATTACGTACCTAGTAACTTGTTGGTAAAAGTGCACTTTTGAAAGGTGCATAATTACCAAACGTAGCAACGTGGCAAGGTGGTGATGTTTACTTTTGTCTTAACAATAATGGATCGTTCCGTACAAGGCGTAAGGACTTGTAGTTCAAGTACGTGGAACATTGAAAGGAACTCGGTGGTGAAGCATTTCTCGAGGATGCTTTTGGACTCCAGGTCGTGTAAGGTCCTAGCCAGTCTTTATAGGCGCGTGCAGTCAGATTCTCTATTCATTATTTTATTCATCTTCCAGAATACCTCTTGACAACGATTCTTTGAGAACCTCTGGGACGTGTAGGTACAAAGCGCCATTGTTTCCTCAAATCTTCTCCGGCCAGTCACGCCAGATATATCTGAACCTGAGGAAGGTGTCGCGGTGCAGTTGCTTGAAGTCAAAAACGATCCGGAATGGAACGTCCACCTACCTCGCTACAGGATGGAACAGTACAAGATCAGCACGAAATAGTACAATTTAAGGAACATAAAAGATGGGAAACTCGATCGAAAACATATGGCCCTGACTGTGGGGAGTAAGGATAGTCGCCGATAGTCACCAGGAGGAACGTGCGTGGAATAGAACCATAGATCGTGTATTGGCTCTACAGTCAACTAGCG